CACAATTGTGCCTTACGAGTATATGATAAAGAATATTAGAGCCTCACTGCTACTTGATCACATTTATAATCTTTTACGACCACTTACTATTTTGAAAAAGTTGTTTTTCTCTACTGATTTGTGGTTATTTTGTCTTCACTGTGTTAGAAAATTTCTTACTGTCCTATTGCTCAGTTATTGTTGTGATACAAAATGAATATACCGTTGACGGCTTTTTAGTTGACTCCTGGTCCAATTATGTTCAGCTATGACTTCACTTTAGAATTTTCTGAGGCTATATTTGGAGCGGAAAAAGAATTTGAACTTTCCCATCTGGAAACATGTGAAGTTTGTGCTGGAACTGGCGGTAAAGTAGGCTCTAAAATGCGGATTTGTTCTACTTGTGGTGGGAGGGGTCAAGTTATGAGAACAGAACAGACACCTTTTGGCCTGTTTTCCCAGGTAAGGGCTTCTGGTTTCTATTTCTATTGATTTCTTTTTGCACTTATCTGATATTTTGTGCATATTCGTATCAAATCAAAATCAGAAACATTTGTTTAGTGTGATTTCTCAAGGGTTATCTCCTAGTGTTTTAACTACTTAGTTGCCTATGGTTTAGAAATTTTTCCAGTTTTGCATTCAATCCAGTTTAAATTCTTTAATGACTGATTGCATCTCTAAAGAGTAGCTTGATTGTTGGTATTATTTTACAATAGAACTGGATAAATGTTTTTGCACTAGATAGCACCAACTGGCGATAAGACAAGAAAACATTGTTTGAGGTAAATTTGGATGTGATGAATACATCAGTAAGGAAAGGTATGGTTTACTCAGGTGGTATTCTGCACACGGGAAGGCCAAACGTTGAACGGTTTGTGGTAGTGAGAAATGAAATTATAGCCAATTCTTGACCTCGTAAATGGAACTGATTGCTCAAGTGGCCTCATTTAGTTCTACACGTTCATGAATGTAATAAATCTGCGATACATTTGATGTAGTTACATGTTAGGTTCGTTTTTAAGTTTATGTATTAGCTCTATGTGGAACTGATTGCTCAAGTCAGCAACTATTTGTGGCCACGGGATTATATTTAAGTTTATATTGCATCACTCGGGTATAAGCACCCTGTATTCTATGCAAAACTAGTTACATGATTATTTGAATTATCTTTTTGTTCATGTTAGGTTTCCGTATGTCCAAATTGTAGTGGAGATGGGGAAGTCATTTCTGAATACTGTCGGAAGTGCTCTGGTGAAGGACGTGTTCGTGTTAAGAAAAGTATTAAAGTTAAAGTTCCTCCTGGTGTTAGCACAGGAAGCATTCTGAGAGTTGCTGGAGAGGGAGATGCCGGGCCGAAAGGGTAGGTGGCTGAATTTCATTTTGTTTTTTACCATGCATTTTCAAGGTATTGTCTTTGTTTAACTGTAAGGTAGATATTCTGTAATATACGAATAGAAAAAGTATGAAGTTCTCCTTCATTCATGCTTTCAAGCATATACAAGGTGCATATTCAATGTTTTCAATTAAAAATTTGTTACAATTTATTTTTTTTGGTTGTGTCGATACAACATTAACTACTTTGTGGGAGCACTATAGATGCTACGAAGTTTATAGAAGGCTCACAAAAAGCATTACAACAGTAAAATCATGTGAAGATTCTCATCTAAAACAAAAGTCATGTGAAGATGATTGAGACATTAAAGACCTATTCATCTTATTTATACAGTTTTTTTCCCTTATGTTCTTTTCTTAGTCCTGTTTTTCAATCATAATTTATGTCATATGGACTTTGCATGTGTACTGTTTCAAATTTGGATATTGTTTCAAACCATTCTTTTGTTCGCTGCTTGTCATGTTGACCTCCGTACGTACTTTACGGAAAATTGAAGTCGTTGTGTTACCCAGTCCAATGTGTTGAGGATTTAGTATTCTTAAGTATTATAGCCTCCTGGATTCTGTCATTTATCTTAATGTACGCTCCAGCCACTCTGATAGAACATTAAATGTTTCTTCCTCTCCTTGAGAAAGTACTTTTTTGGGTGAAGAAAATTTATAATTAAAAAATTCACTAATTATTATTTGTGCACATAACTTCAGAGTGTAGATATATGCGTCATACTGTGATACAAAGTTTATAACCAATTGCTGATCTTGTTATACCATCAGGGGCCCTCCCGGGGATCTTTATGTATATCTTGATGTTGAAGAAATAGAAGAAATTCAAAGAGATGGCATAAATCTCTCCTCAAAAGTTTCTATCAGCTATCTGGATGCAATATTGGGGGTTGCTGTTAAGGTATAGTTTGTTATTTTTATTCAGCATAACATTAGACAAACTCCTGCTTCCATTTAATTGTTATTTGTATCTCACAGAAAACATATCTCACAAGCCTTGGAGTAGTAGAAAACCTTAAATTATACTATTGTTTACGTGTATTTTTTTCATGACCGATCTATTGAATTTCTGGCATCTGAAATAGGTCAACACAGTTGAAGGGGTTACCACACTACAAATCCCACCAGGCACCCAACCTGGGGATATTCTTGTCCTGGCAAAAAAGGGAGTGCCTAAGCTGAACAAACCATCAATACGTGGCGACCACATATTTACAATTAAAGTAACAATACCAAATCGTATCAGGTATACATTTTTCTCTTTTTCTTTCTATTTTCATTGTTACTGGGTAGCTGTAGCGGATTTGCCACAAATTCATCTCCCTGTATTGTTGCGACTTAAATGTATTGTTACAGACTTCAAATACTCAAAAGTTTTGGTGAATGCTTTTTGGCAATATGTCAGCTCTTCTAGTGGTAGAACATCCATGAGAAATTAAAAAGACACGAATATCATTAAGAGACACAATATAAAAGAAACATGAATACGATAGTAGCTTGTAAATATATTAAATGACTTAACTTGGAAAGTAAAAAGGAAATGTTAAAAGGTGGATGAACACTACTGGGAATGTTGTCAGCTATCATCATTCGGTACATGTGGTGCTGTGGAAGCACACTCATGAAGACAGAAACGAGTATTGGTTGGAGAGAAGGGGCATGGTTGTTTGCTCGATTCACAAATAATAAACATCAAAGAGATCTTTAAGCTTCTATTTTCTTGTATACATGCATTCTCTAAAGAATGGGAGTTTTTTGAAATATTAACCGACATTTTTCATTCATTTATAGTTCCAAGGAGCGTGAATTGCTGGAAGAACTTGCTTCACTGAGTAATACTACTGCCACACGTTCACGTACTCGCCCTAAAGTGCCGCCAGCTAGTAAGTAATCGCTTTGTCGTTTGAGGATGTTTTCTTTGCTTGCGCATGTTACAAACACTTTAGTTTCAGGTTCAGTGTACAGATTTATGATTTATCTGACTTGACTTTGATGCTTTTGCTTCTGCAGCAACTAGTACGGAAACTGAGGTGGGAGCGGTTGGGGAGAAAACAGAGGAAGGAGGAGATCAAGATGACCCATGGAAGAAGTTAAAAGACTTTGCAGGGTAAATCTCTCTCTGTCTCTCTCTCTTTCTCTCTCTCTCACACATACAATGATATCTTTCACGCACTGAGTATTTATGCAACTTAACTGCGGTCACTAATTACCGAGTGAAAATTCTACATCTGTTTCTAAAAAGTATAAAAAGATATGGAAAAGGCGGTTGATATTTATTTCCTGGAGGTACTCTGTTATTTGTGGCATATCCAGATATGTATAAGCTCATGAGATGCTTTTTTTTTTTGTGTAAATTAATAGTCGCTTCAGATGTATATTTTCTGTCATATTTGCTTTTATCTTCTCTTCATTAAAGCACTCATCATCTGCACAACAACTGACCAAAAGAGTTTATCGAATTTTCAGGTCTGTTGCAAATGGTGCCCTAAAATGGCTGAGAGACAACCTCTAGTCTGGTGTGTTTATGAAGTTTCCTCCAAATTTGCCCAAATATTCGGCTATATATATTTTTCTTCCTCCCAGAAGGGGTACTGGACGAGGCCGTGCAGCCAAAATGTCTCCACTGTTTTACAGAAATTAACTTGCCAGCGTTGCAGTGAAGATCTTGAATTGTGCGGTAGGCGACATTGTTTTTATTTGTTGCATTTTACATTTGTCAAATAATATACAAAATCAGCTGCTGCGTCTGCGTGCATGAACTGATTTGTATCATCTAGCAGGCTAGAGGGGCATCAAATTCTTGTCAATGAAACTCAATTTCAGACTCAACTTTTCTGGAATTTCATGTTTTTTTTGGTCAATGAATTTCTTTCACGGTTATTGTTTGTCAACAGTATTTACCATCGGTCGGTGATGTTTACAAATACGTATAATTTGGTTGTGAGGAAGTACTGATGATTTTCCGAATCATGCGACGTAGTCTCATAGGTTTTCGTCACTCCTTTGCTTCTGTGTCTTGGTTCACAGATTTCACACCTATGACAAAAGCTTCTTTGGTCCATTCTCTTCTCCGCGTCATCTCAAGCTTAGGCGCTCGAGTGCTTCCGTGGTCGTTGCCCTAGGCGGCACTTTGTTTTGTAGTTCCTCTTCCAAAAATCAGATCAGAACCTTGATTGTACTAAGATACAGGCGAAAAAGTAAAAGGAAAACTAACGAAAAGTCTAAAAAAACTCTTCTTTTAACGAAAATCCCTTTTTAAAGGTATAGTGAATAGTGCCATTTAAATGTAAAAATGTGATTTTTCGTTAAAAATGAACAATCCCGTGAGTGTTTTGTTAAAACTCCCAAAAGTAAAACAGAACCGATGGAATTGCAAAAGATCGATCTAAACGATCTAAGTCGACTTTCCCTACACTACTTGATACTTGAGAAACCTAAAATTACAAAGAAATGTAAACATCTTAAGTTTAGCAAGTTTAACTCTTCCATTTGATTGATCATACTGGTCAGGTCATGTCGATCATGCCCTGCCCTGACAAGCTGATCGACATGACCTGACAAGCTGATCTCGATGAAAGCGCTGAAGCTTGGAAATCAAGGTAGAAAAAATTAATAAAAGAACAAAGTACAGAATAGAGCCGGGAATCGAGGAGAAAATTGACATGTATACAATAGATACAGGCATCGAGGAAGTACACAATAGAGACGGATTTGCTCCGATAACATTAAAAAATAATAAGAATGTACCACGACTAGGATCAGTGCTAAATTGGTGAACTACATTCCTAGCTTCGGCCCTCCGCACGGCTTTGCTTGATCAAAAGCAAAACAGCTACAACAATAGGCATGAATATCATGATAAGAGCCTGGACGATATTGGGTCTAGTTATCTCAGGCAAAACTACGCTTCCGTACTTTATTACCGCTGCAGCCACAAGGGAACCGGCTACCACCTTCCCCAGATATTCCAAATCGTCCTGTTTACACAAAAGGAAACATTTACAATTCAGAATATTCTCAAATCATTTGTATGTTTCGAGACCACAGAATTTCATAGATAACAGAAGACATAAGGCATCTTTTAAGTTTCAGGTTTTCTGATTAGTTAGAACTGGAAGCAATTTTTAGCAGATTTATGATAACTTCTTTACACATAAATCACGTTCTCTTGTTGGCCGCTGATATTCCATCTTTTCCCTTCGTTTTGGCAACCAGACTAAATCCTTGATGCCACGACGCCAACTGTGACCATGGTATTAGATCGAAATGCAGCTTAGTTTCTGTTCTATTTTTCAGAAGACATATTAAGCAACCCTATTCTTCAAAAATGAAAAACAATCAAAACTACTAAGGATGTCGCTTTCTTCACTCTATTTTCCCTGGTATGAGATACCTACTCAAAATGTACTACGACAATTCAAACATGTAAGATAGGTTTGTCGAAAATACTTCTCTAGAACTGTGTAAACAACTGAACACAAACTAGTGAATTTGAAATCATTCATGAAAGAGAACAAACTTACGCTTATAAACAACATAATCTTGACACTCTGATTGTTTATGTTTAGATAAGCAAGCAAAATAGAACAGGGCTGATCAGAAAAAAAAACTCGCAAGAAAGTGAAATCCCCAGAGGAAAACAAATTCATGTCCATAATGCTAACAAAGCCATCATACATTTTAATTGAGCCTAAAACTCTACTGGACGGTGGACATAGATTTCTCATGCACATACTGACGCTTGCATCTCTTTTCAAACTATTTGAGTGAATTACCAAAGAAAATAAATGCCGAATCTGGAGAATTCATATTCAACATTCAACCCACTAATCATATCGACATTTGACTGAAATGCTTGTGTGAAAATGTTTTTGGGTTTCAAAAGCACTTCAAGTGCTTTTTGGGAGAAGCACTAGTTACATGCTTCTTGCAGGAAGCACTTCGAGTGCTTTTCAGAATTCACTTGCATTTTTAGTAAGGATTAGTTTCAAAAGCATTTTTATCAAAAGCGCTTCCAGTCATTTGAAAAGCACTTCCAAACACACCCTTCTACTACCTAGTGATAATCTGCTTATACCAAATGACCAAACTTGTTTTCTATCTCAGAAATTAACTCATTAATTCCCCTGCAGAACCTAGCTTGTAATAGTGCAATATTTAAATTAAAAAACCCAGAAATTATTAAACCATCAAAATTCAATAGATTTTCGGACGTTTGTATATAGGGCAGAGTTTCTAATCTGTCTAAAACAACAGTAAGATGTACCAATTTACCTTCAATTTGGAGCCTCAATATTTACTCGCAGTGGCCAAAATTAATCAAAAAAGGAAAAGGGGTAAATGGATATACCTCAGAGATCAAACCGCTGCCATTGTTACCCACGTTTGAATTCACTTCTTCTTCCTCACCTCCTCTTTGAGGGTCAAGAGCTCGGATAGGGAAATACCCCTTTACCCTTGTGGAAGATAAGCAATTGGGGTAGTGGATGGCAAATTTCGTGTAACTCGTGAACTTCTGTGCGGGCCGTAGCCGCCGTTGATCAGACCCGGACGAGTATCGGAGGCTGGAGGCTCCTGTCACCGTAGCTGAGGCAGTTGCCACCACCATTTCTGTGTGGCTGACACTTGGACTTAATAAGTGTATGTCACTCCATTCATTGCCTAAGTTTTTAATTTATCCACATGTGTGCCTTGAATTTGTTTCATTTTTTCAGTAAATTTAAATTATCATTTGATACTTTTATGGTTTGCTTATCTTTTTTAATCTCTTTCCTTGATAAAATTTTGGTTAAACTTGTATTGAAAAAAATTAATTATACTTAGCATTAGTATTATTATCATATGAATTTGAAGTAAATTATAGTAATAGTCCCTTAATTTTAACTCAATTAAAGTAATGATCCCTCAACTAAAAATTCATTACCAGTGATCTCTCAACTCATCAAACCGTGCAACTATGATCCATCAACTAAAAATTCATTACCGTTGACCCTCAACTTTGATCCAACTGGATAAATGATCCCTCAACTTTAACTCAATTGGAGCAATGGTCCATTAACTTTAATCAAATGGTAGCAAGGGTTATTCCAACATAACTTTTGACAAAATTCTAATGAAGTTGACGATAAAGATCATAGCTACACATTTTGATGAGTTGAGGGACCCTAATTGTAGCAGTGGTCATTTCAAAGTAACTCATTGTAGACAAAATTATGACGAAGTTGACGAAAATGACTATAACTACACATTTTGATGAGTTGAGGGACCAATGGTAATGGATTTTTAGTTGAGGGTCATTGTTCTAATTTGATTAAAGTTGAGGGACCATTGCTACAATTTACTATATGAATTTGTAATGATAAATCAATTAGTTCATAAATATTATGTTGATGAACAAAACCGGAGGTCTTGGTACAACGTAAATCCGACCGTGAATCTGCAAGTAATGTAAATAACACAAGATGTATCGTGGTTCACCCCAAGGTTTGGGCTACGTCCACACTGGTTATGTATTTATCTGAGGAAGAGAGAGCTTTGAGAGTGAGAGCCTTGAGAGGATAAGGAGCCTTAGGAATTGGCCTCCCCTAATTGTGAGGGTGAGAGGTCCTTTTATAGAATAAAGACTCCTCACTTATTACATATTTGCCCTTTTCTTTATCACATAATTACATTTAAGTCATCCGAGTATTTATACGAGATCTAAATATGAGGTCCTAAATATGGTATAAACATATTACATTTATAATCTTCTTTGTAATTGAAAGGCTTTTTAGTCAAAATGGTCATTAAGATTTGTATAACTCCTCACTTTGGTCTCTAAAGTGGTCTCTAAGTTTGTCCACCATTAATCATTTTTGTCATTCCATGAAAAATCTCTATTAAATAAAAATAAAATGATAAAAATACCCTCAATTTTTTTTTTTCAAATCATTTTCGATTTAACATAATTTTCACGGAATAACCAAAGTGATTACTAGTGGACAAACTCAAAAACTACTTATATTGAATTCAAATCTCAGAAAGCAAAATGATGAGTTATTCTCCATGACCATTTTGGTTAAAAAGCTTAATTGTTATTCATGTGTAAGATTCTACATATTAACGTTAGGTTGACCGTCCTTATTGAAAATTCTAGCTCCCTCTCTCCATTAGGATCAAATAACCACGTTAATACAAATTTGCCTATGTACTTATAGCACTAAAAGACTTCAATGGCCACATGGCAAATTGTTGCCGTGAATTCCACATCTACTATAATATTCCTGAGAATATTGCATTTCAAAGCAACCATATCCATGTGGAAGCCATTTTTATGTCCTCATTTTGTGGAAATCAATCCTAATTCAAGTATTTGATGGCCTCCAAGTTCAAGTGCTAGAACCAAGGCATGCAATTTTATTGTGACAACCCGTCCCAAATCTTACGTTTTTACAAAATTTAAAAGTATGATTTTACAAAAATCCCTTAGAGGCGAAGGTATTGATTTTCGTGGATCAGCATATAATGATGTGTATGACTTAATCCTTTAGCGTTTTCCTGAAACACTCGAGAAGTATTTTTGGTTTAAGTCACTATTTATATATTTTTATATATTTTTATAACGTTTATAATTATATTTTTTTCATATTAAGTTATTTGAAAAGAGGAAAAAGAAAGAAAGAAAAGAAGAAGGAAACAGGAAGAGATGAAAGAAGAAAGGGGATTGGGCAAGAACGCCCAATCAGAAAGAGAGGGACATAAGGAACGAATTGGAGGAGGAGGGAGGAAAGTCTGCCCAATGAGAAGAGAGGAAAGGATGGGAAATGAGAAAGGAGAAAGGGAGAGGATCGGCCGGATCCCTTGAACCCGCACCCAACCCAGTTTCGAAACTGGTGGAATTCTGACATTTCCGAGCCGTTTTTCAAGCAAATTTCACCCCATTTCCACCTGCAATCATCACCATACCTCTTCCCCTTCATTCTTCTATCAAGATTCGATGGAAATTGGGTCAAATCCGTGACATTTGACGATCGTGACACTAACGGGTTTTGTGTCAATTCTCCCATTTCTGAAGCAATTTCTTCCAATTTCCACCACCAATAGACTTCACTTGAGGCCTAGAACAATGCCCAATCATTGGTTGGAACGTCGAAGTCGAATTGGGGACGAATCAAGAACACCAATTTCTAGGGTTCCTAGCGGATTCGAGGCAAATTGGAGCATTTCCAGGCTAAATTGGCCTTGGTCACAGGTATAAAAGTTACTCTACTCATTGAGATCTTCATTTTTGTAATTTTTGGTAATTTTTAGAAATAGTTGAGTTTTCCGGCGAGCCGGGCGGCCGACCGCCACCTGCGTCGGCTGGTGCGACGGCGCGTGGCCAGGGGACCATCGATGTTATTTTTAGGCTAATTAGATGCCTTGAGTTCAGTTTTGGTAGTTGTATGACGTAGGTTGATTGTTGGAATCTAAACTCTCTACGTTACGTTAATAGGTCATTATATGAATCGACGATCCGACCGTTGGATCGTCACCAAACTTTAGTATGTTATAGTACATAATATTTGAGGATCATAGGAACTTACGGATTAGGAATTCGACCTACGGATCTTCTCGAATTGGATTTGTAAGTTTATAAAATAAATGTTAACCGCCACTTAGTTTTGGGCAATTGACGGAAATCCGACCGTTGGATCGTAATGAAATTTTAGTATGTTATTCTAGAAGTATAATGTGGATCTTTGGAAGTTGCGGATTAGAAATCTGATGTGCGGATCTTCCATATCGGGTTACACAGGGTTGTGGACCCAACCGTCGATCTTTGACCGACGGTTGACTCTTGGTCAATAGGTCTCAAATTATTCTTGAAGGTCTTTGAGGATATGTTTTATGTATTTTATCGGTTAGAACTCTGAGATGTGATTCGATAATTGGTTATAGGCGACGATGGTTCGTGATGTCTCGATATGCATGCTAGGGAATTGTAGCGTGGACATCAGGTGAGTGGGGTTTTCCCCTTCTACTGTATATATATATAGACACACACACACATATACGATTGACAATTCCATAAATGTTTATAAATTGATTATTGCTTATGATTACTATGAATGCTTTGAATAATTATTGTGAACTACAAATGGCTTGATCCCTGCTTAGGGTACGTAGGCAGTCTAACGAGACGTTAGATGTAGCCATATAATAAATGAGAACGAATAATCGAGACAATAGTCTAGTTTGGGAAATTGAGTAGTTTGAGGGACATTGGTAGGAAGATTATAAGATTTGACCCTATGCTTTAGTGGTTAAATGTCAATCATAAATCATTGGGTGAATAATCAAGAAATTGAAGTAAGGAAAGGGAATTAATTGATAGTTAATTTAACTAGTGCTTAATTAGGCTTGTCATTGATGATTACTCTTAAAAGTAAATAGTTTGGGAATGGGGCATTACAATTTATGCATTCTAGACCATTTGTTTATATGTTTATATATCTGGAAATATTATGATATGGTTAAAGTTCAGACTTACATCTTGGTATATCTATATGTATATTCCTTGCTCATAATTATTGTGAACGCTCTGAAATGCAAAGGTGAACGCAGGACACACAAGTAAGTTCAGGTAAGTTCAAGTAAGTATACGGTATTAGTTGAATGGATGGGCTTATGGTACGACTACATTTATGTTTTAAGCAACTCCGACACTGTTATACAGGGTGCAATAGTAGGCAACTCTGGCATTGTCGTACAAGTTGTTTATGAGTCGTACATGTCGTATTAGATGCATTTAGAACTCATAAACCTGCACCCTGGGTGATTGTGATTTAACCAGAGATATGGTACAAGCCTATTTATGATGTCACATCCCGCACCCTATGCTTACATTAGATCCAATTTAGGTGCACAGTCTTGTCGTATAGACCACCATAAGTGGTTCCGATTCGTAGGTGACTAGCGATTTATCGCATAGCTATCATAAGTGCATAACATTGAGCATAAATATATTACACCCAGTCCTGTCGTGCAGACCACTACAGTGGTTCTGACTCGTATGCAGGCATTGTGTCGTACAGGTCACTAGAGGTGACTCCGACTTATATGCTAGCAATGATGAATGAGATATACGAGGAGATATAAATAAAGTCGTACAGGTCACTAGAGGTGACTCCGACTTATGAGCTAGCATATGTGATGAATATGTGATGAGTTAGTATATGTGATGAGATATGGGTAAGTCATACAGGTCACCATAGGTGACCTCGACTTGCGTACTAGTATGAGTTATTAATCGCATGACAACTTGATATTGCTGACGAGATGCTGTCTTATGGTATATTTATGATATTTTCTGGGAATTATACATGTGTTGTAGTAGATGATTATCATGTTTTATATGGTTTCTATTAAAATCTTACTTACAGGGTCACTCACTCTTGTCTTGTCTTCACCTTCCAGGTTTTATTAGCTGAGTTTTCTTATCGTCGAAGATTCGGGGCGATTCTTAGTATCAGAGACTATTTTGAGGGTACGATTCTTAATTCATTCTTCTGTACTTATTTATGCTCTAACGTCACGTGTGAAGTGAGTTTATTCCCGCTCACCAGTGCACTCTGGTATTTAGGTACTCTTAGGTTTAAATTTATTCACATTTTTCCACATCATCACACTTTAT